GACCATGAGCACCGCCGCCGCCATGCGAATGGCCATGAGCACTGCCGCCATGTGAATGTCCATGACTGCCGCCACCGCCGTGGCTATGCGTGTGGCCCAGAGCGAAGATACCAACCAGATTGACTAGAAGTCCTCCAACAGATACTGCCTGTTTTATGAAAGGAAAAAAAGTACTCGATGTAAACGATGCACTGGACAAGAAACCATTATTATTGCACAGCATCAATTGAAATAATAAAACTGCAAATAAAGTATCAAAAGTGCGTTTGGTTTTCGTGCTTACGGGTGATTATGTCTGCTTCTTATGATAACATAAACGAATTAAGAGGCAAAAGTGACTATGGAAGACGTCAGTTCGCCATTTTAGTAGAAATAATAAAAATGCTACTAATAAAGATAAGTAAGCATTATGTGAAATACAAAAAGTCGATTGGTGGGTACAAACGAGACTGTGTCGGGGTTGTTGTGGGTAAGACCCACATTGCGACGGTAGGATCATTTCCGCCTTGTCTATTTGATTACATAGCTGTTGCGCGATAACACATAGATATAGATAACTACACATAAGATCCCGAAAGCCGGGTAACCTATCTGTCAGGTATGCAGGCAATTCGGTTATTCGTATATGAACGATATAGTCACAAGATATCATAATTAGAAAAACACCCGATGCATGGTTTGCATCGTGCCGTAGCTTGATGTAACCCCAGACTGTTGGTGCCCGAGTAAGCTGATATACATATGTACGTATATTATTAAAATTGGAAAGCAAAACTTGAAATTAGATACATTCTATGCCTACCATTAGGCGATCCGTGTTTATGTTGGGTGGCTGCTGAATGCGTAGTAGAGCATTGATGGCAATTGATGCGGCAATGATGAGCAAGGCAAGGGAATTGACGAAACCGGACAGAATTTCGGCCCGGTGGAATCTGAAATCAAAGTGCTCACTAGGTAAAAGACTACGACAAATGCATTAAACTTATAAATACCATCATTGGTCGATAAAAAACGGCGTAAAAAGGTCCAAATCACTGGTAAACCTAATTTATATACAGTAGATTGCATAGCTGATGCAAGGTTGGGGATAGGAGGATTTAACGCACATTTGAGGTTGTTTAT